ACATGGGGTCCCCTGATGATGCTTATCCCATGCAAATAGGATATGATTTAACAGAAAGCTTTAAACCAATTATTAATCTCCCTTTTGTATCTTGTGTGATATTGCAGACATGGAAGAGAACTGAAGAGTGTGTAAGTACCGAAACTCTTTTTGCATGGAAGGAAAAGGAGGCAGCTCTGCAGCAGCACGTCTCCCCTCAGTGATCCACAGATGTTAGCTCATGGTGCGTTTAAGGAGGGCCCAGAAAAACACGTTGCYGCATCCTAATTGGACTGAACAGTTCTAAGGGCTGAAAAAAATGCAGGGGACAGAGGGCACAGATACAGGAAATACTGGGGACATGTCCTATGCATACACCACATCTGTTACACCCATGTGTGAGAGTATAATTGCTGCCCTGTTAGCATCTTTACTCCCCTCCCGTTCCCCGACTGCCATTTGGGGAGGGGGTCCTGAAGAAGGGCRGGCCGCCAGGTGCGGTCCTGGGCTGTGGGTGGGCTCGGGGCTTGGACGGTTGCCGGGGGCGGGGCTGGCTCTCCATCCTACCTGGTGCTGCTTGGTCTCCTGAGGTGTGGCTCTTGGTTGCTGTGGGTGGCCCACTTGTGGCTGCCGGGTTAAATGCAGAGAGTTAAAAGAGACCTATTATGCTATTATGCTTTTAAGTCTAAATGTTTGTCATAATCATGTCTTGTAATTATTTGACACGAGTTTTACTTTTAAACTGTAAGTGTATTTAATTTAGTTATTAGTCATGATAGTTTAGTTATGATGTAAATACAATAAAAATTAAACTAAGATTTAGATTAGAATAATTATCATTTTGATCCATGCATTGGTAATGTCTGACTGAGCCTCGTGTCACTTTATGTTCAACAAATTGGGCCCCAAGGTCAAAAAGGTTAAGAACCCCTGCTCTATTCAATGATTTCCAAAACTCACATAGAGGAAGGTTGTCCTAGCTCTCCACTAAACACACACAGGAAACTGAACGTGACTGTTGGCCTGCATGGATACAGACAACCTAACGCCAAACAAAGATCTTACAAGGAAGTGAGAACACAAAAGGGCTTTTAAAGGTAGATCACTTATCAGCAGTACAAAAAACACCTGGAAATAATAATCACTGGGGGCAGACATAACCAAAACCCCAGAGAATATCAAAAATAAATCCCCTAATAATGAAGTGTTCAGTGAATGTCTCAGGCGGCAGAAACCTAATGTGGAAAAGGAGAAATGACAAAAGCCATCATAGAAAGAGAAACCCCTACATGACATGTACCACTGACAGATTGAGAAGGCAACTGATGTCAACAAGTCCTACCAGTGTCTGGAGAGAGCAGGACTGAATGACAGCATAGAGTCTACTAATCATGATGCTCCATGCAGGCTGTGAAAACATGCTTTTGTGTGTGTTTTTATTTGCATTGGACTGAAAAAATGCATATTGTAAACATTAAAGGGGTCGTATCACCGCTATCACTCAATAAAAACATTTTGAAAAAGTTGTTTGTAATAAGATTAGATCAGTTCATTGATAAACAAAATGTTTTAAGTAAAAATCAACATGGTTTTAGAGCTAATAAGTCAACATCAATGGTTCCCATTGACTTGATTGAACAAATAACAACAGCTGTGGGTCAAAAACAATACTGTGTCAGTGTTTTTGTTGATTTAAAAAAAGCATTTGATACCATTGACCACAGTATCCTTCTGGATAAATTAAACRAATATGGCATAAGAGGTCCAGCACTACAGTGGTTCTCAAGTTATTTCCAATAGGAAACAGTTTCTACAAATTAATGATGTAAGATCTGAACTTTGTAATATTGTATGTGGGGTTCCACAGGGTTCTGTATTGGGACCAAAGTTGTTTCTCCTATATAATAATGACTTGGTAAATGTGTCAGAGTTGTTTAAATGTGTTTTACTTGCTGACGACACCACATTTTTTTGCTTGGGTAAAAACATAKAACAGATGATGGAAATGATGRGAATGGAATTKGTAAAAGTACAAAATTGGTTTAAACATAATTTCAACCTGGAAAGACTCAGACGAGACAGAATGAAATTTAGGAGGTTTATTGACATGACTGGACCAACAATGTTATGATATAAATGGCATTAGAGTTTGGCGCTCAGACCCCGGCTGAGGACGAGAGCGCTGAGTGAAGCTGAAATCTCATAYGAGATGCTTTAAGATAGRGGTAGGATATTTAATCCCCCCGGGACCCGAGACTGGTGGTGGAGGTTATGAAGGGATCTAGAGAAGAAGAAGCCAGCAGTTTGTGTTGAATCACTTCATCACAGACCCCCACCCTGAGCAAACAGTGGAGAGGAAAAACTCCCCGTTTTCAGGAAGAAACCTCTGGCAGAACCAGGCTCAGGACAGGCGGCCATCTGCCTTGACTGGCTGGGTTGAGGGAGGGAAGAGACACAGCCGAACGTGGGAAACTGGTCCAGATGCACCCTCTCCAGAAGACGAAGGGTGGAGGATGGATGGTGGCAGGCCGACGGTCAGTCGGCACACAGACTGTGAGAAGGAGATGACTGGCTTTTATTTACTGGCAGACAGGAGCTGATTGGACGAAGCTGGGTTTGCAATGATTGCACACAGCTGAGCTTGAGACAGGAGGCCTGCAGGAGCAGGTAAGGACACCAGTCTTCCAGAGCTGAATTTACATACAARCTCCATAAATTATCATTAAATTTGGATAAAACAAATTACATGATATTTAGTAATAGAAAGAAAACAATTGATGTTCCATTTAGMGTGGATGGTGTTGAAATTTGTAGCGTCAATGAGGTGAAGTTTTTGGGTGTCATCATTGACGAAAAACTGACATGGAGACCTCATATAAACAACTTAAGAACAAAAATGGCAATATCTATTGCAGTACTGTATAGAGTTAAGGAGTTATTTAATGATAAAGCACTATTTACACTTTATAATGCAATAATTGTTCCATATTTGATTTATTGTATAGAAGTCTTGGGAAATGCATGTAAAACATTACTAATCCTTTTTTTTTATTTTACAAAAAAGAGCCATAAGAATTATCACAAGAAAGCATTACAATCACCCATCTAATATATTGTTTCATCATTTAAAATTGTTAAAATTGCATGAGTTGGTTGATTATAACATACTGCAGTTTAGGTATAAGGCTCATAGAAATGTGCTACCTTCAAACATCCGATCACATTTTGTTAAGAAGGAAAGTTGCTATAATTTGAAGGGAATACAAATGTTAAACTGAAAATCAGAACAAATTTGAAGGACAGATGCACTTCTGTAAAAGGTATAAGACTATGGAATRATCTGGAGGATGACTGTAAAAGCATTGGATCAGTGAATTTCTTTAAGAAAACAATCAAAGAAAAAATGTTAAAGAAATATGAAATTGTTTAATTTGTATTAGTTACTGTTTGAGTAATTGAAATTTTTGTTTAGTTTTGTTATTTGTTTTATCATTGTTTGAAATATTTTTAAATTAAAAAAGGGGCAGATATAAGAATTGTTTCTTCTTCTGCTGCCTTTCATTTTATTTGTGATTTGTATTTTTATTGTACATAAATTTTGTTAATATATAAGGGACTGTAGTGCAGATAGTTTTCACTGATGGTGCTGACTTTATCTTTGATATATTAATATTAAACATGAAACGTGAAAGACAAGTGTAGATTTGCCCACATTATAAGGCCACAAAAACTCATATTTTATCAATTTATGAAATGAGCRTATGGCAGACTTCACTAAAAACCAAAGTGGGCCATTGCACTGGCTGAAAGATTAATCATTAAAAGTAAAGTACTTTATTTAAAAAGTATTTGTATTTCATGTATTCTATTACTACATTTGGCCCGCAGCCCCGGATTGATGATAATTTTGACCCATTTGGGGRAAAAGTTTGGGAACCCCTGATCTAAAACAAGAGTAAGAAGACCTGTGGACATAGTGTGGGATCRCACAAGATTTTCTGTRGGAAGTTTGCAYRTTATGCCTGGAGTTCAGTTTATCCCCCACTGAGAATGACACCAAGTAACCCTCAGTATGACATAAGGTTAAACAAAGAAAACAAACTATAATACACTTGGTTAAAAATTTATTGAGGAACACAGCATGATGTTACAGTACATGTTGAGCAGTAGAAAAACCTGTTGTTTCACTTTAATCTTCTCAATTATCTGAATCTAAAAACAATCTAAAATCTATCCAAAACAAATTGCATAAGAGTACAAAAATTTACAACTTCAAATTGTGTTGTGTTCAGCACTTTACTGAGCTGTTAATGTTAAATATTACAACAGAGCTGCAAACCACTAAAACATTTTACTGAACAGGAAATAGGAACCTGTTAACGCCTTGGTTCATCAGCAACGAAAACATTTATTTGGTTTATATGTGAGTTTTATRTTTATGCATTAGACAATCAAAAACTAAGATTTGATACAAACAGCAGATAAAAAACATTTTCTATTGGAAGTGATTTATTATTTCATTTCAGTTCGTATGTTGACTTTGTTGCATAACTATAGTGTTAGTTCTTCAAGTGTAGTTTTACTGAGGCACAGAAAAATATTCTTTCATATTGTACAAAATAAATTGTATCCCACAACCTCCTGTTAACAAAATTGTAAACTAAAATAACAACCCCCTAAATCCACGAGTTTCAAAAACAACCAAAGAAACTTAAGAATAGATTATTATCACATAACAAAAACAAACAATTTGATTCACAACCGGATTCTCTAGTAGTTGTCATTTTATCACTTTTTTATTTCATTATAAAATATGATTCATTTTATTGCTCTTATTGACCAGAATTTTGGCAATCAGCAAAACAACAGTCAAGATTACTACTGATAATAGCAGGGCTGAAGTGCTGCTTTTCAGGATCCCTGCACCTGGGAAAAAGGAAAATTATCCATAAAAAAATTATCAGTGCAGTTGTATTTCGTCTATAAGGCTACACATTATTGAAAGTCTGAGAGGACTTTACCAGCGTTGCGTGGCTTCAGGAACAATGGTCCAACAGAGAGCGCTGCAGAGTCATGAAACGATACATCCCTCTGAAATCGTGAGTGGTGACCTGGGTAGCAGTGCTGCAAAAAAATAACAATTAATGCATATATACTGTATATATAAATTATAAAAAGCTGAAGGTGCACAGCCTAATAATATATATTATACTTACAGCTGTGCAGCTGTTGTTTCTCATGAGACACAAGTGGACATTACAGTGCAGGAAGATATTATCAGCGTTGTTGAAGGTGAACATCTTGAAGGAGAAACGCGCCACGGTGGAGACACCGTTCTGAATCAGGTCTACAGTTCCATCTGCTGGATTGGGACACCTGTAAGACCAGGACAAGTTAGGATGTCAAACAGTAACATTTCAAAGTTAAGGTAAAAATCAGGATGAATGAAAAAAAACAAGTAATTTACTCTGAAATGATGAGATCCCAGCGGAGAGGGTTGTTTGTGTTGTTGTCTGGTGTGGCCCAACATGAGTCTAGAACAGTGGAGATCTGGCGCTGATCCACTCCCTCTGTTCGCACCTCAAGGTAAAACCTCTCATCTATCCCCATGTCTATGTTACCTTCAGCATTAGTGGTGAGGGGAAAGTGGAAGTTTTCGTCCGTATAGGGGATCATTCTCACAGAATACGAACCTCTGCCGACTGGAAGCCTTTTCCTTAAGCGACTAAAATACAAATTGAAAATTGTTTGTTAGAGTAGGATGGCTTTTATCTGCAGGCCGCAATAACTTTGTTTAAAATGTACATAAAGATTTTTAAACATGCAAAATGTGAGTTGTGGGAAATTTGAAGAAATGGTAAATAGGTTGATATGATGTAGATATTAACACTAAATTGTTGGAAAAAAATATCCAGAAATGTAGACAGAGCTGATGGTATGATCACCTCTCCACAGGGTTGATTCTCACATCCATTGAAACAGCCTGAGTCAGAGGGTAAGCACAGCTGAAACAGAGATGTATGCTTTTCTCACGGCTGATTACACCTCCTTGAGGATCCACACTACCTCGAATGGTGTTCTCATACATGAAGTGTGATCCATTGCTCTGGACAGAAAAATCACAAAACATAAGTTGATTGCGGCAACATAATTCAGACTGCACTGATAATGTTTTTGCATATGCAGTTTTACCCTGAGAACTGTCCCGCACAGGTGGTCATCGTTGTCAAAATGGAACACGAGTCGACCGTCCTGAATGGTACCATTGCAGGAATTATCTCTGAGATGGAGGGCTTCGGAATGGAAACCTGCTTCAAACAGCTGGCATCGAGACACAGACATGGTGCCTGAACTGCTGGCACAAGTGATGGCCGAGTCTGTTCACCAAAAAATACAAATGTTTTCTGTCAGTGACCAAAAACATTCACCATAGAGGAAGAAAGTTGCAATCCATAATCTTAAACAATTCATCCAGTGTCATAGTCAGTTCAGGAAGCTAAAAACAAATCGGTGTTGTTTTAAGACATGTTGCTCTCACCATAGCTTTCATTATTGGGTCTATGATGGTGTTCATCACAGAAGCAGCCGTACACACCGTCTTTCTTGCCACACCACTCATACTCTGCACAGTCCAGCTCTTCACAGGGGTCTGCTTCATCTAAAGAAACAGAAACAATATATCATCCATATATATTACAATGAAAACATTTTTAAGGAAAATGTATTAGGATTCTTTGTGTGTGTGTGTGTGTGTGTGTGTGTGTGTGTGTGTGTGTGTGTGTGTGTGTGTGTGTGTGTGT